TTTCAGTCCGGGACGGGCGCAGACACTGCAGACCACCTCTTAACACCCCCACTCCCACCCGCGGTGCCCCAGGTCGGGGCCGCAGCGCCGGCCGCCGCCACAGGGAGGCAGCATGTTCTCGCTCGGTCCAGCTCGCCCACCGCGGCTGCCCCTCAAAGCCCTGGGCTCCGGAGTCCCTGCAGAATGTCACCGGAGGCTGGGCAGGTCCTGACTCGGGAAGGCGCGTCCGCGATCCTGTGCTCCCCTGTCCCTGTCCCTGTGGCCCAGACGCGGGGCAGGGAGCCTGGCCTGCGCTCTCCTGGTGTCTGCGGCCTAGCGCCAAGCGGCAGATCTGCGCTCCCACCCGGTCAGGACCAGGGTTCTCAGACGCAGCCTGGGCTTCATTCATCCTTCCCGGCCCAGGGCGGGAGTCGGCGCCACTGTGGGGCCTTGCACACCTGCACCGGGTGCCCTCAAGCCACCAGAAGGACGGTCTGGAGAGCGCAGGCGGGGGTCCCCCCCCCCGCCCCGAGAAGCTCAGGGTCCCAGGCCGTGGCCTTGAGCAGAGGACAACTGGTCTCTGCCCTCTCATCACGCCGGGCAGCGGGTGCCGGGGCGGCCCTTACGCCCCACGCTGCCCCTCGCCGCCCCAGCGCCCGGGGACGCAGCACCCTACCGCCTAGCCAGCCGCGCTCGCCCGAACGGTCCCGCCGGCTTTGAAAGCGGAGACTCGGCCTTTGTGCGCGCCCGCCCGCCCCACCCGCCGCCACCCTTATTAGCATAGCAGCTGCTTGCCGAGCGGGGACCTGCGCAGGAGAGGGCAGAGGCCTCGGGAATGAATGGAGCCGCTGCTTTGGAGCGGTTGAGAGAAGAAAGACCGACAGACGGACGCGCGGAGGGTCTGTCGGAAGGACAGCCAAGCAGAAGAATGCACCACACGGGGAAGAGGGGGTGGCGGAGGGAGAGGGAGGCCTCTGGGGACCCCGGAGCCTCGGGGGGGGGGGTCTTGCCCAGGCCTCAGAAGGAGCAATTGCGGAGGTTCCCAGACCTTCGACGGCCCCTCCTATGGCCTGCGCCCTCACACTATGGCCTCGGCTTTGTTCCCCAGCTGTCCCAGCTCGGGGGGAGGGGGGGCTTTTTCCGTCCTTCAAGGCCGGTGGATGCCACCTCCTCCCCTCAGGCTCCGAAGGAGCACCAAGAGGCAGCTGGCTTTCCCAGGTCAAAGATCGGCTGTCCACTCGATCTGTGGCGCATGCCCCCTCTGTACAGTGTGATGAGCCTACTAGCTTTTGGATACATACTGCCCCATAATCCCTTTCTTCTCCTCCTTCTTCCTGGCCTGCTGTGTCCTGGCTTCTGCCTGGTGGCTTTGGGTACCACTTTTAATTGTTGACCATTTTTCTGCATTTCTAGACCTAAATGTCCAAAGGTGGACAGGAGCCAAGCATCCTCCTGATGGGACAGCCCGGCAGGCAGGCCTTTATCTTACCTTTTGGTGAGTCTTCTTTCTCCTTGCAGGGTTTTCCTGTGGGTCAGTACCCAGCCTTTCTCTGGGTCCCCTCTTGGCCTATATCCCCAACTGGCCACAGGCACACCTGTGGCTCTGGAAGGCCGACGGTCAGAGGAGCTGGGTCACCTATTGCTTCTTCCTCACCTACCCTAACTTGGACCAGTCTGGGGAGAGGACCAGGACTTCCTAGAGACTTGGTTGGCCAATTCCTGCCAACTTCACTGCAGTGGGCAGTCTGCTGAGCTAGAAAGACCATGGTCACTGTAGTGGGCATCAGAGACAGTAGCTTTGATCTGGCCACATCTAGGGAGCAGGGATTTCCTCCTGTCTGCTTCTACCCCACGAGCAGTCTGTTCTGTCATGGGAGTCATGCTCTGGACCACTCACCTTGTCCAGTCCCTAGCTCCTTCTTGAGGTAAGGACCAGCTAAATCCCAATCTATTCTGCCTGCCTCCTAGCTGGGGTCAGGCAGCTGGGGGCCCATTGCTCATTCTGGAAAATGCTGTCCATCCCCTGCCCCTCCTCCCATTCCCATCCAAGGAAAGATCACAGGCTATGTGGATCCTTGGGCCTTACCAGTTGAGATTCACAGCTCTGACCACACTGGGGGAAGGACCATGATGATTCTGAGTGTGTTTGTCTGCTTTCTGGAGGTCTACAGGGCGAAGGAGGCTTGTATGTCCCAATATAGCTCTTTCTTCTGTCAGTGTGGCCTACACAGAACAGCACCTGAGGGGAAAGAAGCAGGTCCCATGGGGCGCCACCCTTGGCCATCTCTTAACTCATCCCATTCATGCTGGAGAACACTATCTCCTCAAGGGGCCGTGCAGCCTGTCAAATGCACCTCAGGAGAGAACTTCAGATGGTCATAACGTGGTAGCCACACACCTGGAAACCCCTAGCACCTCTCTTGGGTAAACTTCAAGGGTGCTGCAAAGGCAGTGACTGTAGTTGAGCTGCCCCTTCCTCACATACAGGCAGGCTACAAATGGTTTCCACATTCCAGGTCCTTGTCTCATTCCCACGTAAAATAGCGTAGGGTGGAGGGAAGTCATGGACACTCTTGGGTGGCCCCAATAATTCCCAGGGCAGAAGAACTTCCTGAAGGAAGGAACCCAGGGGAAATCCCTTCCCTCTGCAGAATATCAGCATCATCCTCTGCTCACTCCTGGGGCAGTCTAAGGACAGAAAATGTGTTAACTGAAAATGTCAAGACCTCATGGGTAGGAACCTGACAGGTGTGGGGAAGGATCATCGGGTGCACGGAATTGGTGTCGGAAAAGTCCCATGTCACTGACCCTTCTCCATCGCTATCTGCTGCTGCTCTGGACCTGTCAAGTATGCCCTCTCCTGCATCCCATTCAAGACCCCAGGAATGGGCTATCTCTGTACCTCTTAAGCACACTCTCAACTCACATACAAGGGGACATTGGGCCTTACTCAGGTATGTGCTCTGAGTGGCTGACCCTGGATTGTGAAGACTTCCAAGGGCTTTTTGCTTGTCAAGAGCCAGGAACTCAGTGGTTTCCCAAAATCTAAGAGGCCCCTTCTATCCAGAAGGTGGCCCAGAGCCTAAACTTTCAGGTTGGATGGGGAACATGAAGATTCTGATTTCTGAGGTCGCAGCCACTTTGCCAGTACTGGGAGGTAGCAATGGCCAGGTACAGGAACTGACAAGGTGGCCAGGACTCCTAGCCCCGAGCACAGGCTGGCTTCTGGGTTCCCATAAGTTCCCAGAGGCTGACCTGGACTTGGTAGTTTAGCCAAGGTGGACTCCCATTTACCCAGCTCTGTCTTTACATGAACATGCTGTAGCCTAACCCTCATCCCTATAGAGGGTACCCATGACTTGTGCCAAAACTAAAAACCAGTATTTTTTTTAATATAAAAAACCAATGAAAAATTTATTCATAAATTTTTCACACTGGGCTACAAGTCTATATCATACGCTCAGGAGTGTATTGCAGACAGAAGTGAGCAAACTGGGACCCACGCACAGCTTCACATAGGCCTAGGAAGTCTTAACATTAATTAACATAATTAAAAAGGCATTTGCATGTAGAAAAAACATACAGAACTCCTTTTGGAGTAATCTGTGCGTGTCTCAGTGTCTGCTAGTTTTACGACATCATCGCTATTCTCACACTGGTTCATAAAAGGCCAAAGAAGACGACGGACTATGACCAGGCGGCACAAAAGGCCTCCACCCACCTGTGTCCTCAAGTGCTCCTCATTTTTGCACGCAAGGTCAGCAGCACTTCTACGGAGGGGAAACCTCATTTAAATTTGAATAATTCAGCCTCCCTTTTATTTCCCAGGATCAAAACAACAAGGGGTGTGGGGTTGCATAGAAAATTGGAACCACAGGAATCAGGAAGGGGTCCTTTCAGGGGCCGCAAAGTGACGCTCCAGCGCCTCCTTCAGCCTGGGTCCTCGGCGCAGCCCCCCCACCTCCAGCCCGCCAGGGCAGGATCCTCCTATCAGCATTGGGTCCTGGAGCCGGGGAGGCAGAGGAAGGGCGCAGTCGCCCTTCCACTTACTCAGCAATAGCACGAGAGATTCACAGTCTTATAGGCATTTTATAAAAATATAAATATGGGTACATAACAGCCTTCACAACGCTGGATACAACGCCCTTTAAAACTGGGTTTATAACCAAGATTCAAAAAATACAGCTAAAACTTGGCTTAAAATATGTTAATATTTTATATTGTCATAAATGTTATGACATTAAATCGTGGCAAATCCATTTACTTTTCTTAAAAGTGTGCAACCGAGTGTTAACAATAATAGAAGTCACTAGGAAGGGAAACATCTCTCATCCCCACGTCCCAGCCACGCGAGCTTCAAGGTCCCGCGGGAACTTTGCTAACCAGCGGGTGTGGGGAATGGCCTCTCACAAGAGTGCGGAAGGGAGGTCCTGGGGCTCCCTAAACTCACTGGGAATCCAGGGAGAGGTAAGAGGAAGGAGGCGCAAAGGGAAAGCAGGGGGCTGGGTCGGGGAGGGACTAGCAACAGGAAAACCGTCGGGCTAGGCGGTATTTTCAGTGCAACCAAGAAATGGTAGACTCAAGTTTTTAGTTTTAAGGAAAAAAACCAAATGCATCTTTTTCCCCCATAACCACAAAAACCACGCACAATATTTTCCAAACAAAAAACTCAGGCGCACAAACTTCACCCACAAATATACACACACGTGATAAATAGTTTAGGACACCAGGAACAGCCGGTGTCTCCAGCCTCGCACCCGGGCGCAAAGGCGGCGGAGCCGAGGGGTGGCTGCTCGGCCGCCCCGCGCGCCCGGAGCGGCCCTGCAGGCGGGCAGGTCCCACCGGCCGCGGCGGGAGCACAGGTCCGCCCGCGCCTTTCACCTTCGGGAGAAATCATTTCAAGCAGAGGATCCGGTATCTCGGAATTCTGAACTCGCGGGTTGCGAGACTCAAATTTCAAAAAGGCTGGAGCCCGCGCCCCGCCCCCACCCTCGCGGCGGTCCGCCGTCAGGGAGCGTGGGAAGGCTCTGGGGCCCCACGGGGCTGCAGGGACCGTCGCGGGGAGGCGCTCGCCGGCAGAGTGCCGGATCCCGGGGGCGCGGACGTGAGGAGCCGTCCCGGTTTCCACGCGGGCCGGCGAGCCTGGAGCACACCGAGGTAGTTGGCGGGAAGGTACAGCAGAGACGACGCGGGCGCGGGCCGGGGTCCGGGATCCCGAGGTCCAAGCGGGCATCACCGGCCGCTGGCCGCGTACTTGGCCTTGGTGATGAGATAGAGCACGATGTCCTGGTGGCCGCCGAAAGCCGCGATGTGCAGCGCGCTCCAGCCGTCGCGGTTGGCCAGGCGGATGTCGGCGCCGAACTTGACCAGCAGTTTCACCAGCTCCAGGTTGCCGTCGATGACGGACTGGTGCAGTGCTGTCTGTCCCTCCGGCCCGAACGAGTTCACATTGAACTCGCAGTTGGTCATGTTCTGCAACAGCGACTGCAGCTCCTGCGTGTTGCCCTTGCGCACGGCTTCCTGGAAGATGCGCTGCGTCTGCGGGGCCGAGCAGGTGGACAGCTCGGCCTGGCTCATGTTGTCGCAGAGCGAGGGCCGTGGCCCGCGCCGGGTATCAGCGCGGGCGGCGGCTGCGGCGCGGGCCCCCGGCTGTCTCGGGGCGTGTCTCCTGGAGCGACTCGGCGCATGGAGGGCGCTGCGCCCCCGGGCCCCGCACGCCGCCCCTGCGCTCTCCTGGCGCTCGGGGCCGAGGGCCGCCGCCGCGAGACCCCCGCTGCATCCAGCCGCGCCCGAGCGGGCGGGCGGGCGATCAGGCCCGGTGCTGGTTCGCAGGGCCTGGAGCAGCTGGGGCCGGCGACACGCACGGTCGTGGTCCCTGCGGAGCTTGGCTGCGCTCCCACGTGGACCACACGCCCGTCTCCCTGCCTCGCGGTTCCTCTTGGTCGGTAGAGTTCCCTCACCTTTTAAGGTCCTTATATTTGCATAACAATGGGCGTCCGTGATGCGCACCCTACCGCACTTGCGATTGGACTGTACCCACGTGGGGGCGTGGCGAGGGCGGTGCTGGGGGTGTGGCCCCAGGAGCGCACTTCACGGCAGAGGGCGCTGGTCTTGGGCTGCACAGGGAGGGGAGGCCAGGTGGTCACAGTGGGCTCCCAGCGCCACCATCGCCACCGCCGTCTGGGTACGTTTGCCCCGGATCTCCACCTCCCTCCACGTTCTTCCTGCCCATTGTTTCTCTATAAATCCAGGGAACTCCGAGTTCCCCCCAGCAGCCAGTCCCAGGCCCGTTCGCGTGGTGACAGCTCCATGAAGGGCCCAGACGCGCGTGGCCCTGAGCCACCCTAGTCTTTTATATGCGAGTGTGACTTCCCCAGGCAGTTCGGGCGCTCATGTGTTTCGCCTCACCACACTAACACGAGGAGCTCCAAGTCCCCAGTCACTCTAGTAAAGGAGTTCCACTTTCATATCCAGAAGGCCAGGGCAGGCTCACAATGTGTGTATGGTGGGGGCAGTTTATCACCACACCTCCAGATGGGTGCCTATGCTGCCCAGCCTGGATACACATGTACAAGGAAAGGTAGGCCTGGCTAGGTGGGCAGCCCCAAGTGAGACACCCAGGGCTACCCGGTAAGGGAATTTTGAAATGACTCATTTCTAAACCATAAGTCCCACATTTTATTGACCACTCTGACAACTGACCAGGAGGCTAGAGGGGCTGGTGCCCTCTGGGGAGGCAAGGCTCTACATTTCCTCATTATGTTTTACAGTTTACAGCTCTGCTGTGGTTACTGAAAATTAAGGAGGAATGATCTTAAGACTCGACAGAGCAGGAAGCAGGACACGCCAGGGCTTGATTGCTTCTGAAGCTAGGCTGGGAATTCCAAGCAGGCAGCTGTGGGCCTCAGCTGGGTAGACCACCCTGCCAGGCTTCATCTAGGGAAGTTCTTTTGGGGTGATGCGTTTGCTCCCAGACTCAGAGCTCTAGGATACTTACCAGGGTATGCCCGCCACCCTGCTCTGTGTCCTGGGAGAGACCATAGATAAACTGGATGGAGATAGTGGGCAAGCCCCCTGGGGGACTCATCATCTCTGGCCAGCCGCCTTCAGGCATGGCCAACTGCCTCATGCCTGACCCTAGCTGACTTGTGCAAGGGCCACAAGTGGTGGTCTGGGAACCTGAGCCCCTTGCATATGCAACTTGGAGCCCAGCTCTGGTCTTCCTGAGATCCATGGTCTAGTGGGTTCTGTTCCTTTGGTCCCCTACCCTCACGTCTTGCCTCTCTGCTCCCAAGATCTCAAGGGGTGCCCCCTAAGGTTCTTTCTACTCTGCAACAGGTAGGGATATTGAGGCTCAACTGGGGAAACTGACTGGCACCTTTGGCCTCCCACAGATGGGGGGAGTCACTCTGGTGCTGGCTGGGTCACAGAACACTAACAGAGAACAAAGGTAGGCATGGAGGAGAGGGGGTTCTGGGAGCATAGTCAGGAGGGTAAGAGCTGCTTCCATGATTTTGTGCATCTGCACAGGGCCTGGAGGCATTATACTGGCAGGATGCAGAGACCATGGGTTGGGTGAGTGGAGCCTTTATTCTTACCAAGCCCACAGCTGTTCCTGGAAGGTGAGGCTCCTGCCTAGGTGGGCTCCAGCCTGGCCTGGGGAAGGGCATCAGAGATGTTCTCCCAGAGCCAAGCATGGGAGAAATGTTCCATTGACATCCGCAGTGTGCAGCAGACAAAGGGGCCTGTGTGAGCTCAGTGTGGGAACGCAAGGCCGCCACCACCGGGGCCGTGAAATCAGCAGCAGCCCTGGTGAGAGCTGGGCTGGCAGTAGGGATGGTGTGGCTGCTGTGGCAATCCCATCACGGTGAAAGCTTATCCTGTAGACACTCTGTCCTGTGTCAGGTTCAAAGAATAGACAGATGTGGCTGGGCTGCCACCACTATGTGGCTGGGATGGAGCCCTTAGGCCCAGCTCACTGAGGGACTTAGGTGGTGGCCACGGATCCCCTACTGGCTCATACTCCTTTGTTATGCCTGTGCTCTGGTCCACATCCATGTTCTTGAAGCTGCCATACGAAGATGGGATCAGGGAGGGCTGCGGGGCACTTGGTTACTAGTAAGAACTGCCCAAGTGTTTGCTGAAGGACACTTCCAAAGGCGGACATTTGTTCCACATGCTGTTGGAGAGAAGGCTGGGAAAGGTCTCACAGTGAGTTTGAGGATACTCAGTGTTAAACTGTGTTTGCAATGCCTGCTTAGATCTAAGGCAACCCCCATCCTGGCTATGAGGCTGGACCCTGTCCTTTATCCCCTGCCTGATTATAAGGATGCAGGCCCAGGAGCACCCTTCTCCTCCCATGTGACCCCCTCCTGTGCTCCCTTGGATAGATGCTTAGCTGCAGGCAGCTGGGGAAGCAATGCTGGGAAGGGGCGGCATGTAGAACATTCTAGAACTCCTACTGGGAAAGTCCTGGTGGGATAGTTCAGGCAGTTTGAGAGGGCCATAGGAGGACAGCACAGAAGGGGCAGCTGGCCAGAGCTGAGCCAGGCCTGTGGCCACCTTAAAGACACTGAGCAGGGGAGGGAGGCCAGCGGGCAGTGGGGGCGGGGCTTCCAGCTAATTCATTAAAATGTGTTGGGGAGCGTGGGAAAGAGGAGAGTGTTTCTTCCCAGCAGCCCAGACACCTGGTAGAAGGGCCTAGAGAGGATAGGAATCAAATAACAAACACTCAGCCCCAGCCAGCACCGGCAGAGCAGAGGAAGGAGGCCCAGGCAGGAACTGCAGCAGACAATTGCTGTGACCAGGGCTCCTGCCCAGGGGTTGGCCACTCGGCATGGCAGGCCAGCACTGGGGACCATGGCTGCTCTGTCAGCCCTGTGATTGTCCCCAGTCCTGGGGGCAACCTGCTCCTGTAGCTGAGGAAGGCACATTGGAGCTGCCCTCCCCATGCCTGGGGCTTGCCTCTGGTGCTTAGATCTGCATGGGGCAGACAGTCTTCTCCCCATGAAATGGCTAGGGTAGAGGTGCCTTACAGCAAGTGTACCTTGTGCAAGGTGGCAGAGCAGAGGCAAGAGCAGGGCAAACATTACTGGGCAGTGGGCACGGTCAGGACCTGGCCTGGTCAGGATGGATGGCATGGATTTCCTCCCCTGTTCCACCTTTGGTCCCGGGCAGCTGCAGTCCAGGATGCAGCTGAGCTGGGTAGCGGTCAAATGCCCTTTGCTGCTTCCGCTTAATCCCTGAGGTGGGAAGAATGTGATCAAGGGCTCTCCCCAGGACAGGACATGCAGCTAGGGGGTCTGACTCCCAGAGTAGCAGCCCAGCTCTGATACCCCTTGACACCCTGTCTGATGCTTGGTTCAGGCCTCCAGGCTGCCCAGCAGGTTGAGGGAAGGGTCTGGGTTGGAACTGGCTCTGAGGGACCCTAGAGTTACTGCAGTCTCTGCCCATTGCTGAGCCTCTCTCTCCCCATTTATGAAATGCCAGCCAGGTTTCCGAGGGCTGAATGGGCCAGGATTTAGATCCCAGGGTATGTCCAGGACAGTATCTTGCATGGGCCTGGGAGAGGCCTCAGGTGAACTAAACTATGAATGGTGGGCAGATATGGGCTTGGTGTCACACCTAGGTCTGTAGGTACTCCCCTCACTGGGCAGAAATGAGCTTCCCTGGCACTCACAACCCTGTTGCCTCTCTAGCGGATGCTAGGCTCTTCAGCCAAATCTGAGCTGGTTTCTGTTTGAGGCAGGAAGCAGAAGAAAGGGATGTAAATCAGGGTGGCCTTCCTGGGGAGAGAGTGTTAAGTCGGGTGGCCTTGCTAGGGAGTAGGGAGGAGGAGGCAGGTTATTATTGTAACACCAAACTGGCTGGTTGAAGGCAAGTTGCATGCAGGAGCCCCCACCCCGGGCTTCCTCTTGGCTCTCCTTCTCTCTCACTGCTAGTACACACCCTTGGCTCCCCTACCTCTAGGATTCCTGGCATGAGCACCCTCAGACCCTCTAGGGCAGCCATCCATGGTTTTGGAGAGAGCAGAGGCAGCAGCACCTACTTCTGGACAGTTATGACCAGGGAGGAGCCCATGATATGGGAGAGAGTCATGCAGCATAGGTAGGTAGCCAGGAGCCTCCAGCCCAGTGTCTTCTACCGTGCTGTAGTGGCTACTCTCCTCTCTCCCTAGGTCACCTGGGGTGACAGGAAGAGACCTTGTGGGTCACACTTGGACTCAGGGCCCAAGAATCCTGGCCACTTGGAAACCCATTCATCTTTGGTGTCTCCAGCAGCTTGAAAGCATATGGAAGGGGTCAGAATGTGGAGAAAAGTCAAGCAGACAGACAAGGTTATGCTATTAACCCACGTAGGTCAAACAATTTTTACATTTATTGGCTGGCTGTCCCTGGCTGCCTAGGTTGGGCTAAGGGCTCATCTTGGCCCACAGGGGCTGGGGTACCCACCCTCCAGGATCTCGTGGAAATGCGTGGTGATGCGGCCCAGGTGGGAGCCATCCCAGAAAACCTTGCCTCATTGTGTGCAACAGTAGAAATGCTGCAACCCTGGGCTCTGCAGCACACCAGGCAGGACCCGCTCTAGCTGCAGCCTCGTGCCATTGCTCAGTGTGGCTGGAGTGCTGGCCTGTAGGTCCTCTGCTTCTAGCCAGCGGCAGGGGGGATCATAGGAGCAGCCCCTAGGTCCAGGTCCTGCCTCTGGGGCTAGGTCTAGACAGAGAGAAGCAGTGCCTGATCCCTCAGCTGGCTTACCACCAGATGTCCCCCTCCAGCAACTCCTCCTGCAGTAATTTTTTTTTTTTTTTGAGACAGGGTCTCCCTGTGGCCTCAGCTGGCCTGGAACTCACTATGTAGACCAGGCTGACCTCAAACTCACAGAGCTCCATCTGCCTCTGCCTCCTGAGACCTGGGGTTAAAGGCATGTGCCACCATGTCTGGCCTTCCTCCTGTTCTTAGCCACACTGACCCCCATACCTTTTGTTTAGGGACACCTGGCCCTCTGTATCCTCAGTGCCCTCTGACCATCCCCTCAGAGTCTCTAGGCTATCCCTTTGCAGAACCAAGACCCCTGTCTTGGGGCAGGTCAAGGTGCCAGGGTCCTGTGGAGAGCCAGCTGTATCCTTGGTGGGTGGTCCTGGGGCTCACCTGGCTCCTCCTTTGAGTCTTTGCTCCGGGTTGTCTCATCACCTATCAGTCAAGGAGAATAGGGCATGATGGAACTGTCCTAAGGGGACAGCCCACTGTGGACTTGTGCCCACAGTGCCACTGTGAACTGAATTACTGTCATCTCCGTTGTCTCCTGCTTACCCCCACCCCACCCCAGTGGAGAGGGCAATGAACAGGGTCTGAGGGAGCCTTGATGCTGCTGGGTTCTTTTCCTAGGGAACTCAAACTTTGGGACGTTCTTGGGGCCCAAAGGTCCCTGGGAAACAAGTCCTGGCCATGAGATTTGCTGATTAGGGCTCTGGGGCCTGAGAACCAGTGGGTGGGGGTGGGGCAGCCCTTTTGTGGTGATGAACAGATAAGCCCACTGCCAAAGAGTCCATTTCGAAATCAGCCAGTACTAGGGTGGGGCCCCCAGGGCCTCCAAAAATGAGGTGGCTCGTGCTGGTCCTTGTAGCAGGCTCTGAGCCCCACAGTGAGCAGAGGGCAGAGAGGCCAGTGTCCACTGAGGGACTCCTGTAGGGGAGCTGAGGGGAATCTGGGTAGCCAATGGGAGGGGCAACCTCTCCCTCTCCGCTCCTGTGGAACCCTTAATTTGCTTGTCAAACATCTGTTAACAGAAGGTCCCAGATTAACTACAGCCAGGACATGGGTGCAGCTATCCCACCCTGAAGGGTTGGGGGGCTGGGGAGGGTCTTCCTTGAGGAGGCCATGACCTCTATCTGGTCTTCCTGCCTCTATCTAGCCTGCCTAGCCCCACTCTTACTCCGCAGCCCCCGTGATACCAGTTAGTTTGTGTCGTTGCCCTCCTCCAAAGAAGCAGGGGAAGGTTTCCAGGTGAAACCATCTACCAAGGAACAGCAGGGTCAACCCCACTCCACCTACCCCCAGGGGGCATTAAGGCTGGCTTATGGAGTGCTGAGAGCCACCTAGACAGACTCAGGTAGCCACAACTCCACCTACTGCATGAGGGACTGGCGCTGTGCCCCAAAATTCCAGGGGAAGTGGTAAGCCTATGTGCAAAACAACTAGCAATCTGAAGGTCCACAGAAAGAGAGGGGATGGCACACTTGGTCCCAGAGAGGTGCTAAGGATCCCACCTTCCTTGTCCCCAGAGCCGACTGCATGGGGAACAGGCTACTGGGCCCCAGCCCTTACTTTAAGCACTGTCCTTCCACCACCATCACCCTGAAAGTTCAGGGTTAGAGTATGCCCAAGGCATCTCCCCAGGTACCCCCGAGATTCACCTCTGAAGGACTCATCCCAGACACTGCATCTGTTTCAGGACCCACCCCCCTCACCTGTGCTGCTAGGGTTCTCTTGCTGGCTGCTGAGCTGTATCAATTGCTTCATCAAGTCCTTGGAGACTTTAAGGTACTAGTCACTGTTACAGGCCTGGGGGTTCAGAAAGAATGCTGGGGCATGAGCAGGGCCTCCTTGCTATGCTCCAACTCAAGCCCTGTATAGTAGTGGGCTCTCTCACCCCTGTCCCAATCCTATGTACTGTCTGGCCCTCAGAGCCCTCCTTGACTGCTGGCCTCTCTGGGGTTATAGGCTGCCTCTTCCATTTCCCAAGGCCCCAGAGACTCTGCCCTTGTTCTTGCCAGTCCTAGAGCCTTGAGAAAAGGACCAGGCCTGAGCCCTTCTGACCAGGTCAGCTTAGGTATGGGATGAAGGGTCAGTGAGGGCAGTTTTGCAGCTGTCCTGGCTCCCCCAGCCTATCTGTGTCTACTTGTGTAGACAGTTTCACAATGACCTGCCAAAGCCATAGGGACTGGTGGCCCTACAGCCAATGAGGGGTTAGGAACAAAACCAACTTTGGTTCCTTTTAGGGACCTTGTTCAAGGATATGTAATGAACTCCTAGGCCATCTGAGTGCTTTATGAGTGTGATCATCCAGGGAGGGTTCAGTTCAGTTCTGCTGACCTGACTGCTACCACTGATTCAGGGGAGGGGGGCCAGGACCTGACCCCAGGTGTCCTGACCCTGAAAGGGCTGTGCATGGCCCTCTAAATCCTAACTACTTGTACAAAGAAATGAATTTGGATCTCAGGATAAGTTGGTGTGAGGGTTCCGAGCAGGTACATGTACATGGAAGCACTTTTGGTGTCACAGCAACTGCAGGGGGGGTGGGTCCTTGGGCCACCAAGCAGGGCTACAGGGAGAAGGTGGCTGAAGGCTGTGGTCTCTAGTGATCATACTGGTGGGCCCCCCTCTCCACCCAGGGGCTTCAAGTGAGCCAAGCAGGTGTCCTGGGATGACACAGTTGAAGCCCCAGGGTGTGCCATGTTGGGCGGCACCTGCCCCACCCACACATCCTTTTCCCACGGACCTTTCAACACCACAAGGTTGCATTACCTATGGCTTCACCACCACTCCAACCTAGCAGCCCCTGCTGGCCAGGGGCCTGAACTGGGGCTGGTGGGGAGGTAGAACCTGCCCTGCCTCTGCCCAGCTCCCATTCTTCCTATCAGGAAGCCCCCTTACTCAGGGAGGACACCTCCTGTGGACCTAGTCATTTCACTCACCTGGCCTCTGGGTGCAGCTCTGAGTGTGGGGGACTTCCTGGGGCAAGTGGACAAGCAAGAGTTGTGGAGCTGTGCAGCTGCCTGAGGCCACTGCCTGGTCTAGCTGGGGAAGGAGTGTCATTCATGGGCACTTGAGCCTCTACCAGTACCCAAGACTACCACCACAGAGATCTATGTTCTGCTTTGTCCTGGCCTTCTCAGGAGGTCTTGGTGGGGGCAACACAGAAGGGTGAAAGGCTGCATATCCTCTGTGTGGGGTCTCCAGGTCCTCCTGGTCCTTCCAGGTTCTGGCCCAGTATGCAGCCTGGGTGAGGCAGCTGGCTCATGCTGAGTCACCACCACGCAAACGCCTGGTGCCATCCGCAAGGACCTGGCCCCACCTTCGGGAACCACGGGTGCTTGTTTTCCCACGGTCCGTTGCCCGTTCTTGGGCCCTGCTGTCACCCCAGTGGGGCCCAGGGAACCCTGCCCCAGCCTGGGCTGGAAAAGCCAGTTCTGCACTGTTCACAGCACCCGCCCTCTGCCTCTAGGCTTTTACAGTCCACAAGAGGTCCAGCCACTGAGGATATATGTTTAAGTGTACGCTGGACCATTAGGGCAGTGACCATTGACCTGAAGCATTGAGCCTAATGTTAAGTTCTGTCTCCTGTCCCCTGGGGCCCCCTCCTCTCTCATTTTTCAGAAATGAGGCTTTATAGGGGCTGACTCCCTCTTAGATACATGGCCCTGAACTGGCCAACACCCTACTCTAGGATCTTCGTGCTGCCCCCTCAGTGTGAGAACAGTAGACTTCAAATTTGGCATGACACTGAATCTAGGTAGAGACTAGTTGGCAGGGGTGGGGGTCCCTGAGCAAAGGCCAGGGCCTGAGCCCCTAGATCAGCATAGATGGGTGCTTGACCAGCCTAGCTTTCACATCCCCCCTCCAGTCTCTGATCCTGAAGGCAGGGCTGGGCTTCACCCCTGAAACCTGACTGGGAGGGCAGGGAACCTAGAGGGTGTGGGAGGGCCCAGGTAAGTGGGGGCAGGAGAGGCTTGGAAGGCTCCCACATGCTCAGTCCCAGGGGTCCTCCTGTATGCCTGGTTCCCATGGTGGCTGTGAGGCACCAACACAGCTTTCAGCCCTGACTCAGAGCACTTCATGCTGGTAAGCCATGAGTCCCAGAGGCAAAGCTACCTCACTGGGCCGGCTACCCAGGGGACTAGTGGGCCTATGGACCAGGAATGGTTTGACTCCATAGCTCCTTTCCACTCCCAACCTGGGCAGGAATAAGGGAAAGAGCTGATCTGGCTGTGTCCAGAGATAGTAATCCTAGGGGGTGCACCCTGACCCTTCATACAGCCATAGCCCCTTCCCTGGCCTCCAGGGTATACAAAGAGGGGCCAAAGCACACAGGGTTATCCTGAGGCTCCATGTGGAACACCATCTGCTCATTCCTCCAACTGCAGCAGAGATTTGTTGGGTGGGGGGCTGGAAGGCATTGGGGATCTGTTCCCAGGGTGCTGGGGCCATACCATGAGAGCTGCTATTAGCTACCAGCCCAGAAGGTGACCACTGCTGAAGGAACCAGGAGCTAAACAGCTGCTGAGGTCATTGCTACTGTCCTGAACTGTCCCAGGAACATGTGTGCCTGGGTATCCATTTGGTATGTGGGCCACAAACTTAAGTCTATGGTGTGCCTACAGGCATTGTTGGCCTGTGCCCTCCAGACAGTGGACAGCTGGCACACAGGGATGGTTTGGAGTGGAAGTGCTCTCAGGAACAGGCCTTAGCAAGGGCAGTGGGTACAAGGGCAGAGCTGGGAAGGCAGCTTTAGTTTGCTCTGTTCTCTTCCCTAGAGCCTACTAGTTCTTCCTTAGGCTGAGGGCAACAGATTCCAAACTGGCAGAGGCCACTATCCTCTTAAATATCCTCCAGTAACAACTTCCCTGAGGCCCCATGCTTCATTAAGTAGGGGGCTAAGGAGAGGGCGGGTGAGACATGAGCCTTGGGTCCCTCCACTACTGGATCCTGTAGGAACCCTGTGCCCTAGGGTACAAGGCAGCAAGTGGTGGCCTGTCAGGCTCCCCCCTTTGCTAATGGGGAACTGGTCCAGGCATCTCTGGGGTAGGCAGAGGTGACCGGAGCTTGCCTCCCAGAGGCTGGCCGCCCCGGTGATTCCCACAGCTTGTTCTGCCTGCCCAGCAGATACCTGGCACAGTTGAAGTCCATGCCCCATCTCCCAGCTGGGGACAAGTCCAGTAACCTTGTGGCCTGGCCTGAGGGGGTTTCTCCCCATGCCTAGGTACTAATCCCATCAAGAGGGTAGGTGAGAGAGGCAGAGATCTGGGGAGGGGGGCTCTTGGGACCTCCTGCCTCTGAACAAAGGGGCCGATGTGTGTAAAGCCTGGTGAGACTTGTTGCCAGCACTTCCCCCACCAGCTGGTCAGTACTTTGAGGCTCTGAGCAAGACCTGCCCTCTCCTGCACTCCACCTCCGGCTAGACCTAGGCCCTATGGAGGGGCTGGGTGAGGTCAGTCTGAGGTGGGAGACCTGGGCTCAGGCATACACACTTCACTGGTAGGCTCAGGCAAGAGACTTGGTTCAGGTGTTCTCACTCCCAATCCTGTGAGGAGATGCTTGGAACTGAGACACTGGGAACACGCTCCTAAGTAACAGGCGATTTCTTGTTCACATCCCACAAACTGGGAATAGCAAAGCATGAAAGAGCAGAGGAAGTGAACATATCACACCCACTGCCTGGCAGGAAGTCAACAGTACATGAAATACCTGGGCACACCCACCCCTGGCAAGGAATACAAGCTCCTGGGTTAGGGGCGCCCATGTTGCTGTCCCCGGGTACTTGCTGCCCATTAAGTTCCTTCTAAGCCCCATAGCTTTTGACTCCAGCCTTACCTGTCCTCTCTGGCAGGCTCCCAGGGGGTTCCTGGACAAATGGCCTGACACATTGTTAGACAGGGCGGGACAGGGCCCAGGAGAAAGCAATGAGGTGCCAGCTTACCACAGTCTGAGTCTGCCCAACACCTCACTTTCCCATGCTGTCCTGAGAGCATTTCGTGGGCCTACAACTGACTGCCCTGAAGGTGACCTGAATGACAACTGCCCACAGGGGCCATAAGCCCTCTAAGAGAAATGAATTACTTGGTGACAGACATTAAGGGTCTCATTAGCTTGGCACCTTGATTTTCTACTGATATCAGATTAGAGGTGAGCAGAAGGGCCAGGGCTCCAGGACTCTGGGGAAATGGGGAGGTCTGCTTATATGGGAAGGTTTCAAAATTAAGCCATAACGCCTAACTGTTCCTGTTAGGAACAGGGGCTATGCCCCTCTATTGGCAGGCTTGAACCCCGAAAGCTTGAGTGTGTCTGGAGCCAGCGAGGATGGCAGCCCTTGGCAAGGGCTTTGCCCTCTGGCCCCCACCCCACCCTCTGGCCCAGGAAGGGCAGTTCCCACGGGTCTGGCCCCTCCCCCACTTACTGGCTGCCTAGTCCTTTTGTGCAACCAGGACAATGTCTCCACAGACAAGTGGGGGATGGGCCTCCAGGGATGGGCCTGGGGGCTGTCCTCCTGGTGAGGGTCCCCTCAGGGGTCAGGGACAGCTGGGCTTAGGCTGTACCCTGGTGCTCCCAGACAGGGAGCTGGAGAAGGGAGAACCAGTGTCTCCCAGAAAGGCAGGGTAAATGTGAAGGGGTAGGGGTGCCTCAGAGTCTCAGAAGCACCCAGTGACCCAAGGTCACTTTTTTTCCTCTCTCAGTGCTGAGATGGAACCTGGGGCCTCAAGCATGTACTAGGCCAGCATTCTACTGCTGAACTCCCCCAGTGTCTGCATGTGGATTTGTCTGGGGTTCACAGAGAAGTGCACATG